ACAATCTGTCCTATTTTAAAATGATTATCAGTTTTTTATGTACAAAGGATAAAGAAAGAATGATGAATTTAAATCAGGTAGATACATTTTATATGTTTTAGAACTTTTACATGATACTTTTTATAAACTTCTATAATAGTTTATTATGTTTATACAATAATCAATTTAGTACCAAACTAATTTGGCATCCTCCAAAAAGAGGCTGAAATCAAAATGATTTAATTTTTTAATTTTCAACCAGCTGTTTTTGCTGAAAATATGACTAGCAAGAGGGTTTTTGGGGGCAAGCATATGTATATATAATTTATCTGAGCTGGAGAGAGTTTGTTTTTTTCTTGCCATATCTCACTAGAACACATGGTAAGAGAAAAATGTATTTAAGGAAGATTCTTGGACACTACTTTATAAATTACTCTCCAGATGTTCCAATTAACATATTCACAAAATGATTCTTAAACTTATTTCTTAATTTTTTGTTATTAGAACCAACTAGGAAAGCTCTACAATAAAGGGGGTACCTTGGGAAGTTTGTAAATGTCATATCAAAAAGCTTCATTCATTTTTTTTTTTTGAGCCAAGTAGACAAAATACTTAAGGGTTGAAGATGTAAGTGACAGTACTATAACTATTACTCTACTATGTATGAGGTTTTCAGTCCCCAAATTTTCACTTCTGTGTTCTCCCTTCCCCTCCCACCCTTGGTCCCTCCGTTACTCCCTTCTTTTTTCCCTTAGCTTTTTGTTTTCTCCAGTCAACTTAGCAGTCACCTTAGGTTGTCTGTGAATGACTTGTGAGAATGAATTAAAATTGTAGTAAGATTCAGTTGATTGTGAAATTTTGTACGGGAGCAAATTTCCTTACCTAATGGTAAGAACTTGGTTCACACTGTGCCTTCCAACTGTGGTACGTTTTGGAGGGCTTTCGCACTATGAGGTCAATGGCTGTAAGAATACTCCGAGGTTGCGGGAAAAGAGAGGTGAATCAAAGGCTAAGAGGTGTTGAGGTTGAACTTACTAATTAAACTGCTTCTAAGACTGTAGTCTGAGTTTCTTATTATTGCCTCAACTTTCCCCTCCTTATTCCTTTTATCTGGCCTCTCTCATTTCTTTATCCATCTCTCTCACCGAGACCGATTTTATACAACCAGTTATAAGAGAAAGTACAAACAACAGAAGTAAAACTGAATGAAAATAGATTTTGTGATGTCTTAAATTTAAACAACCAAAGCATAGTAAGCCACAGGGATACCAAAGTAACGGCAAGAAACACAGTATTCCACAGAATTCTGCATCAAAACGGAGTCACCCTTACTTAACAAAAATTACATTGCATTCAATGACGATTTCTCTGTTTCTTCAAAATTTCATACTAAGTAACAGTACAGTAAATACGGCATGTACAACTGAGGGAGGACAAAAGACCTCATCATTACTACCTTCGTTACGCGGGGCAGCCCTGCTGTGCACACCCGGAAAGCTTCTGGAATCCTATGCACTGCAGTTGCCAATGCCTGTGTCCTAAGAAAAGATCTTTGTGGGAAGATAAAGGGGAAGGTCAGCCCCTGTAACGAGGTAATAAGGAACTACACATTAGGTTTGAAGAGGCTGGCCTCTCCAGGAAGCTCTTTAAAAAAGTAATTAGGTTATTTCTGATACAAAAACCGATATAATTAGAAACTTCCCAAAATGTTTTTTCAAGAGTTGAAAATAGAATCTGTGTAGAAAGTGGAATCAGATCCACTTTCAGGGCATCAGTTCTCAGACTTGGCTGCACATAGGAATTGCTTGAGAAAAAATTAAAGAGACGGAGGCTTGGGTTGATCCCTCGAGATTCTGACTTTATTGGCTCCAATTATGGACTGGAAAATAGATTTTTCAAAGCCCTTTGGACGGTTTCAATGTGCAGTCAGGATGCAGATACTCTGAGCAGAGGCTGTTCAGCCCTGTGATTCAAAGAGTGATACAAAGACTTGTAATGTCTGTGTCCTCCAAAAATGTGCTAAAAATGTAGATTTTCAGGTCACACCCCAGACTTACAGAATAAAAATATGCATTTGAAGAAGCCCTGAGTGGCCCCCACACTCATTAAATTTTGAAATGCATTAAGGCTCCTGAGCTGCGGGAATGTGGCTGGGTTAAGTACATTCCCAGCCAGAATTCCCTACTTAACCAAGCAGGCTTCAGTCTTACTTTAGTTTTACAAGTATGTGTCCCTCATGGAAAGAGAAGATTCTTTAGTATTGTTCATTAAGTTGATTTCAGATGAAAGCTAGACTTCTCCAACAGTCTAAAGGGATTTTCTGAGGGGGAAGAAAGTTTTCTCTGTTATAGTTACCAGAAAAAATGGTTCTCATCTCCAGTTGCAATTCTGGGTCTAGCTGGAGTGCTTTTACAATGCACTGGTCCCTGATTGAGTGAATTAGGATTTCTTTCTTTCTTTTTTTTTTTTTTTTTAGGTACCGGAAATCAAACTTGGGTCCTTGTTCTTGTGAGGCTGGGGTCAAAATCACTGAGTTAAATCCCGGGCCCTGATAGGGTAACTGGTCCCTTTGAGTGAATTAGGATTTCTTTCTTTCTTTTTTTTTTTTAGGTACCGGAAATCAAACTTGGGTCCTTGTTCTTGTGAGGCTGGGGTCAAAATCACTGAGTTAAATCCCGGGCCCTGATAGGGTCTTTCTTTTTTCTTTTCTTTCTCTCTTTTTTTTTTTTGCATTAAGATTTCTAGAGTGGAGACCCAGGCCAGGGATTTAGCTCAGTGGTTCTGCTGCCTGTCTCGCAAGTGCAAAGTCCAGAGTTTGATGCCCGGTACAAACAAATAAAACTCCAAAAGCCAAAATGGTGAGTTCAATCCCTGGTACCAAAAAAAAAAAAAAAAAAAAAAAAAAAAAAAAAAAAAAAAAAAAAAAACAAAATGGCTTCATGGCCTTTTGGCTAAGATCAAGTGTGGAGTGGGAGCCCCATAATTCCTATATTTAAAAACTATGCGGCGGATTTGTGCAGTTTTGAGAATCATTAGGGATGAATTCTAAGTTCACTGATTCCTATATATCATTGTCTCATTTAACCCAAATATAGTGCAGCCAATCACTTGGGCTTCGAGAAGACTGTCATCAATTACTTCATTTAATAATACATTAACCTGCATTATAAGATCCATTAAATATTTAGCCATGGTGGGTTGGTATTCATTCCAGCACCTCCATATTTATAGGCAACAGTTGATTATCCACCTTCACAGAGGAAGTAATGGCAAGCATATAAAATAGAATGGTAACAAAAATAACACTGAGATTTTATTTATGAAACATTTCATTTCATAGTGTTTTTGCCTTGTCATGTCTTTGGACAAGCATAACATTTAGCTTGGACTGGCTGAGAGCTTTCCAGCTGAAATAGTGTGGAAAGAGCTGAAAGGCGTGGATGAGCAGAAAGGAATCAGCTGCTAGGGAAGACCCACAAAGTCGATGTAGTCCAGAGCCATTTCTGGCTGAGGAGCAAAATCATTTTTCAGGGGACGTGATGCACATGGATTGCACATTGGTCTTCAAACACGAGTGGAGAACGACTCAAGTCAAATAACTAAGTGAAGGGGCCGAGCAAATCACTTAGCCGAAGAAAAACTGCATTTATCTTGAATACAATGATCAGGCTTAACCCTAAATCACTGCCCACTTTTTTTAATTCCACAAAGTATACAAAGTGGGAGAATATTCACATAAAATTTCCTGTAAAATAGTTTTTGTTCCCATCGTGAAAAAAAGCAAAGCACAGAATTCCATTGCAAATTGAATTTGCTTACGACCAAGAAGTCTCCTATTTAGTCCTTCAGGTTTGTTTTTGAACCTATCAGGAAATATTTGTCCTCAAAGTGATAGTTGCAAGGGTTTTTTGAATAAAACATTATTTATATATATTTTTATAATGGGGTTTTCAAGGACAAATAAATATAAATGCCATCAAATCACACAGCCTTTGAGATACTGTGCTTCTCTGACAGGAAAGGCTCTTTCTAGGTCCCACAGACTTCTGAAAAACTGACTTTCTAGGACAAAGATAGCTTTTCAATACTATTGATCACATGTTTAGTTGATGTCACTAGATAATATCAACATAAAACTTGAAAGATCATAGGCTACAGATTGTTAAAATATTTTTTCTATTTCTTAGACCAAATCTTTAAATGAGACCCTTTAGTGGCCTATGATGAAAATCTGTGATAGTAATGTATCTAAATATAAAATCATTATATGGTTATGATTAAATGGTTAATAAACGATGAGCCATTTAACTGAGAACAATCTGATTGTGTGAACATTATAAATCTTTCTCACTAATCGGATACTAAAACACTGCCGGCTCACCATTTGCAAAGCACACAGGTGTGGGAAGTGTAACAATCAGTTTAACTAAGTAGTTGTTTTATCCACCAGACAATTATAGTTTGTTTATTATTTTCCAGTTTTTATACTAAGTAGAATGGTCTGCATCCACTTACTCTTACTATACATTTTTATTAAAAAAGAATGTATAATCAAACATTTAAGGAATATAATTATGAACCAGATGAAGGGCAGAGAAAATTGCACAGGGTTGACAGTGATTACAGACTTTTATAGCGACCACTGGTATGACCTCAGGCCACACACCTCACTCTTACGAGCAGGTGCCTTATCTTTATAAAATATAAACTTTTTGCAAAATGTACTTTGGTTTTTTTTTTCTTTTCTCTTGAGACAGGGTCTCACTATGTTGAGACTGACCTGGAACTCACTATGTAGTCCAGGCTGGTCTCGAACTCACAGAGATCCTCCTGCCTCAGCCTCCCAAGTGTTGGGATTACAGGCATGTACTACCATGTCCCACTTTGCAAAACATACTTTAAGGTCATCTTTAATTCTTGCAGAACTCTGTGATTTAAATTTTAGTTTAGTCATGATTTAGTATAAATAATAAATAGGATAACACATTTAAATTTTGAAGTCTGATTTGAAGAATACTTACAGTTAAGGCTGGTGGTCCTGGAGGTCCTGTATCGCCCTAAAGTAGATGAAAGAAAAGTTGAAATTATCAATAGCACATTATTTATAAGTGTCTGAGTGAAGAGAAGCAATATCTGCAGATAAATCTTGAAGGAAAGAAAAATAGTTTCTCGATAAAAGTCTATGCACAATAAGAAATTCATTATTGTTTTTCAGCTCCCATGATAAAAAAAAAATTGTCTGTGTACCTTTGTTCTTTTTGCAGTAGCAGAACTTGTTTTGAAAAGCTAACAAAATCTTCTTTTCTCTTCTTTGGACTACTAATCCAAAATTAGAAAATAATCTTTTCAAGTATGGTTACTTGCCAGCAGAGCAGCTGGGGCGTGTCACCGTCACAGATAATTTTTCGGACAAAGTTAGGACAAGGATCAGCAGAAATAATAAGTGGATCTCCCCACTTCACGCCTTCCAGCTGCGAGAAATGGTTCCCATGACCTCTCCTAAGCTCTGCTGAATTGGCATTGTCTTTGCCACCAACCGGAAGCGGCTTTGCCTATGTTGATATATTTTCAAATGCTGAAGCTGCTTTGCCTACCCTTGTTAATGCAAATTCCCAGGCGTTATGTTGACAAACTATTCAAACGCTTTAAAAAATGGCTAATGGTTCAGTATTTTCTAATTTCCTTGTCACGTCTCTGACCTGCTGCCTGAGGAACTCTACTGCATCTGCCCTTCAGACCCAGCACCCTGGCCATGCTGGCTTTGTAGCTGAACGTTAGATGTCCCCAGGGTATGGCACGGACTCTGGGATACTGTCCTCTCCTGTAGAGAGGATCTTTACGACCTTCCCTTGTCAAGTTCAGCTACCTTGAAAGTAAAGATATTTACGGTATAGTCATTATGTTTTGGAGCAACTGAAGTAAGAATAACCAATAACTGCTTAGGTACATGAGTACAGTTTAGATAGTTGGCAAGGAACACTAGTGTAGCTTAAATCAGTTAGGAGATATCCTAGATCACTTTTTTTTTTCTTTTGGTTATTTGAGATCACTTTTTTTGTGGGGGGTTTTGAGACAGGGTCTCACTATGTATTTGAGACTGACCTGGATCTCACTATGTAGCCCAGGCTGGTCTTGAACTCACAGCGACCCCCCTGCTTCAGCCTCCAGAGTGCTGGGATTACAGGTGTGCACCACCACACCTGGCTTCCCAAGATCACTGTTAGTGTACCAATTACTACTTAAGACAGATGAGAATTTCTAAATGCATTGAGAATACAGTGCAATGAACACACCCATACACAATTTCCATCACATTGGGATCACCTAATGACCTTATTCAACACAATTTTTTCGGAGATGCATGCATTTTATTATTTCCATCTTAAACTCACTGTCAATTATGTAAAGAGCTGATTGGGGCCATATCTTCAGCACAACAAAAATGCATTTAGCTCAATGCACATGTTTTGCAAGCCTCCTTCCTTTGTGCAACGTATTTTTCCCCCCAATGCATCTTTTTTCATTCATCCGAAGTATATTTGGCACCATATCTTACATTATGCATGTTGGCATAACCAACTCACTTATTTCTGATATTAAGTCATATTGTAAATTAATAACTCACTTCTTAATGTTTAAAACTTGGTGAATGCCAAGTTCTAAATATCCTTGAGGTCTTGGGTCTCAAAATGTAGCCTGACTGTAAAAAGTAGTCAAGAAGATATTGTATCAAATTACTGTGAAAGAGAACACAGCCAGTCAAAGCTACCCCTGCTTTTGCTACTACCTTCCTTAATTGTCTTTTCAAGGTTCCTGCCAGTTGTCCATGATGAAACTGTGTGTGGGACACAGTGGCAGGAAACAGAGCATTTAGACAGAGGCTGAGATGCAGCGTTCGCCTCCCCTGTCTCCAAAACGGGGAGCTCAGGAGCTGTGTGCCACACCCAGGACACCTGTGCTAATTTGGTGACCAAACTGCTCACACTGTTAAGTGAGGACGGGAAAGGGGAAATCTAAGCACAAGTTAACGTCAGCTAGCATCAGGGCATTCAGTCTCTTCAAGCCAATGAAATGAAGCAAAAAGGCTCTTCTTGGTTAGATGCTTTTACCCTACCAGCCTTTCTTTAATTTTAAAGCATTATTGGCAATTAGATGGTATCGAAAAGAAGCCACTGCATGAGCTTTTGGGGTTTTGTTAAGAAGACTGGCACGTTTTTTGAGTAAATATATTACCTTTTCTCCTTTTGGGCCAGGTGGACCACGAGGACCTAAGTCACCTTTCACACCCTGTAAAAAAGAATATAACCAATCATTTCTATAAACAGTTCACAGAAAACTTCCATTTCTCACAAGTCCTTGGTGACAAAGTTTATCAGAATTTACTGAGCTCCCAAATCTAATTCTTCCCTTTGCTAATGAAGAGGAACGGAGACAACCGGCCCCAGCGTGATGGGCGGCGTCGGTGAGCGGTGCGCACGGATACACCAACTCAGTGTGAGTCTCCGATGCTGCGTATCTGTGCAACTGTGCTTCCTGCTAAAATTACATTAATTCACCATCTGGAGAACATCATTTAGATCTATATGAGCTTTTAAGTATCCACTTTGGATAAAATCTGTGGATGTTGTAAATACCTCTGATTTAGCATTGATCTGGCCTTTATACAGCTTGCCACAAAATTCAAGACTTAAATCAACAATATTTTTACGTCTCTACCAAGAAATATAATTGTGGCAGAAAAAGGAATGAAAGGTGCACTCTTTTTCTATCAAAACACTGAGGCTAAAACACAATCTCTTTCCTGTCTTAAAGTAAAAGGCGAAAGATTTATGCGATCTGAAGAGAAACCAGAGTATTTTTCCTGTCTTAAAGTATGCTTTAGTTTTCTGATTCCTTTTTCCTTTAACCTGGATTTACAAGGCTATCAAGTGGAACTACACAAGACATAGAATATGAGGTAGATATTGTCATGAATCCTCCGGACTCTTGGGTGTTTTAATGGGTATTTCGTTGACTCAGAAATGACAACTTTCATGAACACCACAATAGGTTTCCCTGGAGGAGATCAGTTCTATAGCAAATGTATTCATAGTCCAAATCCAAATAAAGAAAGAGACATCTCCTGTGTGGTAAATAGGAAAAGACATCGCCCTCTGTCCTGAATTTAACATGTTGGATGAGAGAGGAACAATAATGGAAAAAAAACATTCTGAAGTCACACCGTGCACAGTGAGTCTAGGCGTCAGGCTGTTCTGAACTGAAGGATTCAGCTATTACTGCCCTGGCATTTTTGTGGGGAATAAACAGTGCCAAATGCCAGCACCTGGAGCTATTCAATAAAGAAACCAGTGAAGAATTGAGGGAAACAAAAGAAAAGTGGACATTAAGAATGATCTTGTTTCAGGGAGTATGTGGAAACTGTGGTCTTGCACATAATAAAAACATTTTAGTGGATGACAATAAGATCTAACTGATAGCTGGGGATTTAGCTCAGTGGTTCCGTTGCGTGCCCCACAAATGCAAGGTCCAGAGTTTGATCCCTGGTACTCACCGCCACAAAAAGAACCAAAAACCAAAAACCAAAACAAAAACAAAAAACAACACTTTGTAATTGCATTGATACTTTCAAGGGTAAAACTCACAGCTGTATTTTTCTGCAATCATTTTGGAATATTTATAGGACAAGGAGGAGTGAACATTAAATTATACTTGGTATCCTATTCTCTATTATCACTACCCAAATCAAGTATGTTCAAAGCAAGGAGGAGTACATTATTCTGAGGGGGAGGATTGGTAATGTGCTTCTACTGTAATTTAAACATTAACTGTATTTTTTGGCCACACATCATGGTGTTACTGCTTTAAAACAGCTTTGATATGATTCAGAACACAGATTTTAGGCAGCAAGAGTGGAGGAGAAGGTCTGAAGACTGATTTTCAGGCAGGACAGCAGCTGTGCTGCCGAGAGTTGGTCCATGGCCCACGGCCTGGGAAGGTTGGATGGAGGTGACCCTGCGTGGGTTAAATGTCTGTCTTGGAGGACTTGGTTCCACCTACTCTCTTTGTGCTCTCTTTATACAGAGAAGAGGTGAGCACACAAAAGGAAACTGCTCATAAAGACCCTGAGATCCTTATCCAACAAAGATCACTAAACATCTACAAATACAAGTGATTAAACCGCACACACTGCTTATATGAACAGCTGCACATGAAAACATTTTTTTTAGGAAGAAAGAGAACTATAAGCACAGTTAAGTAAATGGTTGACCCTGGAGGGAGAGTGGGGTTGAGAGAAAGCTTCATAGGTAGCTTCTAGTAAGAGTGTGATTCCAAGTTCTTCCACTGAGTTCTGGATTCGTTGGTGTTCCAGTTATGACTATGGCTCACGACCATTATATACACTACAGATTTACTTTACAGGCATAAACATTACATTTTTAAAGATTTTTGCCTGATAAATTAACCCCAAAGATAACTTCTAAGGAAAAGGCATATTGGTACTCAAGTCCGCTAACAGCCGTGTGTTCAGTCAGCTCTGACCAGGAAGTGGGTGGAGAGACAGACAACGCCGGAAATGCAGGACATGAGCGCACCAAGGAGCCACCTTAGAAGCACCCAGCAGGTGCAAAACACACCGTTCCCAGGGATGCCTATGCCACTGGGGGTGTTCAAGATGTTGCAAATGTGGAGTTTAGGAGTGGCAGGAAAGGCATGGTATTTTGTGCTCGAACTGGAATAGTTTATTTAAGCAGTCTTACAAAACGGGCATAAGTAATAGCTGTTTTGAAGAGTTATTCTGACAATCATATGTTGTAAAGACATTCACTGCATGGCAGGCCCTTAACAAATGCTGCTTTTTTTTATGTACAAGTGTAGGGATAATTAATAGCGCTTGCTGTTCTGCCTTCTACTCAGTTTGATGGATACGCACCAACTGGGCCTTAACCCCGATAGGATGAAATGCAATTCGGAAGTGCTGTATCATTAAACTTCTACTTTTATGGCCGCTGGAGTGGACCTGTGTAACTCATGTTCTCCTGTGGGAAAGTACAACGCTGTTAAGGCCAGGGCATCAGAATAGGCTTAGAGAAACGGAGCCTTTTCTTAAGTGCAGTTCTTCCTCCTCCTGTCACCCTGGTGCTATTGTCAATGGCTACTGAGTGCTGGGGCGGGGGAGACACAGTGCTCATTACAAAGCATAAAGCACCAAATGGAACTGAGTCTGAATTTAAGACTGAATAAGAGGGGGATCCAATACAGAGGTTTTCAGTAGAATTGATGTCTATAAAGATTCACAAAAGCACAGTAGTTGACTGCAGGTGAAGTATACAGAGACAGAACGCTTACCAAAAGCAGATAAGTGGAAGCCAGAAAACACTATTGCAATGGGAATTATAGAGCAAGGAGCCTACTGGCAAAGCCTACTATTCACAAATATAGCGTCATTTTTAGCCTTTTTAATTTTTATCAGTCCATGTTTGCACGTTCCTTGTGGGAAGTTGGTACATGTACATATCTTTTTTTCCTTTCTAAATAAATTGTATTTTATCCCATTTTATAACACATCTTGATTCTTTTTTCCATCCCCTTTGTTTCCCCTCCATTTATCTCTTGGTCCCCTTCCCATTTGAGAGAGATCTCCCTACGTCCTATTATCTATCTTTTATTTTTTTCTCTTTATTGATATTTTGGGGTTTCTCATCTTTAAAAATCAGATAACACAAAATAATATTATTTGTTAAAATTTTAACCAGTTAATTACTTCTTTTTCCCATGGACTATATCTCAGTTCCCAATAATGGCAAAACCTGTTGCTGGCTGATAGCCTTGTTTTTGTGGTTCAGTATTTTTGTATCCGGTAGTACAGAGTGCATTGGTGTAAGGAGATTAACATGCTTATTTTAGAAATGTCCGATGCTATCATTCTGATAAGAGATGTTTGGAAGATCATAATAAAGACACAGAGGAGACTAAATTTAAGATTGAAATCTACTTTTCCAAGACTACATAATCCTGCAAACCAGGTAAATGAAAAAAATCTCTTACCTATTAGAGCTAAATGTGCTTTATTTAACCCAGTTTCCAATAACAGCAAATGTTTATATATCTCTTGCTACGTGTGAGATACTGTTAAATGCTTCATGTCTGACAGCCCTGTTGGCCCCCCTCAAAATAATGCAAGGTCAGTACTAGTAACATCCTGTTGTGCAAATAAAGGAACCGAGGCGGAGGTGATACATGTACCAGCGTAGTGGCAGAGCAGGCATCTGAACCCAAGTAGTCTTTAACAGTCACAGTAGTAAGTTTATAACATTCCCTCTCATGTCTCTTTGAAAATACCCTTGTTGAATGTATCTCATACTGGGCCTCAGTTAGAATTATTTAATTATATGTCTACTGACGTAATTTTTGACAATTTCAACAGATGTCTAGAATGCATTGTCTAAACTGTAAGGGGAATGTGTTCATTAATACCATGCACATCAACCAAGAGTTAACAGGTACACACACAAATGCACACACACACACACACACACACACACACACACACACAGAGTCCAGGATGCATTCAGAAAAATAGCAGAGCCCCTTTTTGTTCCAATGACCAGGGACCATTACTGGCACTTAGCACTGGTTGGTCAGCCTGTAGGATGCCAAAATTCTGCTTTCACAAGACAGTCCCACAAGGCAACAAACTGTCTCATCCCTCATGCCAGTAGAGGTCCGCAAGGAAAGACAGAACTAGGGTACCTTTCCTTAAGGACACCCATAGACTTCCTTACAGCCTATGTTTTTCCTAGCAGCATGAGCCCATTTTGTGGGGGAAGCTGGCATAGAAAAAAATCAGTATAATACACACTCTATATATGAGGTGTGATAAAAATATGAAGGTGGATGTTTAAGTTTATTATAGCAAAAAGCACATTACCTTTTATCCCTGTTAAAATACTCAAAATATCCCCCTCTACTTGAACATACTCATCCTATCATTCATGGCAAGGCATCTTTCACTGTACTGTGTCAAAAGTGGTTTAACATTCACTATATTTTTCAAGCACCCCAACGGAAAAGGGTGCTGTTTGAATTCATTTAGCACAGATATCAAATCATTCTAATTTAGTGTGATTTAGAAAGAGGCTTAGGAGTGAGCTGGCCCACACCAAAACTGTAATATCTATGATGACCAGATTTTGATTCAGGTGGAAACAGTCACTGCAATAACCTTCGCTCCCTGAAATCCCTGACAGAAAGAACTGTCATAAATGCTGAGTCACTTCAGTTTGCAGAGTCCATGTTGTTAGCATTGAAAAATAGGCAGTGACACAAGATCCCAATGATGACTGTAACTGTACTGTATACCTAAAAAGTACCAATAAATTCAATGAGAAAATAAATAAATAAGCATTAAGGAAAACGGGCAGTGATAGGTGGTATGATTTAGTAGGAAAGTAAGACTTCTCAGTCAAACAGTTAGGGTTTGAGGCTAATTTCACTACTTTCCAAAATAAAGTTGCTTCAGTTTCTAAGTCTCTGTTGCCTCTGAAAAGATGAAAGTGATGCCCGATGCTCCGTCTATTCTCTGAGGCTGCAAGGGGACAAAATCTCACTTTTCTTGTGAAAACAATTTAGGAGCTATTACCACAACATTACCACCAAAGGGCATTTGATGTTTGACTTGCAGTGGTAGCAGTGGAGAGAGGAGAGAAGTTTGACTACTTTTTCTTATTTCTTGGTCATGACTTCTGGGTATCTTTGCAAAATTAAGGAGAGGAAAATAACACTGCCTACATATAAGAAACCAAGTGAGAGGAGTTAATGTTCTTTGTCATGCTTTGCAGGTTCTTAATGAGCTACATCAAACAGTTATGGTGCTAAAGCAATAGCACCTCTGTAATGGGATGTACAAAGGGCTCTTGTAGGGCCCTTCCTGAGGAGAAAGGTCCACAGTGCCTACCAGTCTGTGTGCTCCCTCAGCCAGTCCGGTCTCATAAGATGTGAAACTCAGACAGTGGTGGCCAGGACGCTTGGACCTGCAGTTGGTCTTCTTGAAAGCATATCAAGTGATTCCAAATTGCCAATCATCTTACTCTCAGACAACCTAAGAAAAACTTCCTAATCTCTAAATTTCACTTTTAGGCAAATGTTTAGAAAAATCCCTTTCCATGTCTCTATTTCAGCATTAATATTATTTTTTATGAACTTCTAAAAATCTTGGTTTTGTTTGTCTATGTCCAAGCCCACAAGCTCGGAGTTCTATTTCTTTTGCAAAATTGTGATTCATTTCTTTGGATGCTCTTCCATTTCTCACAAATTGTTATGATTCAGGAAGAAGTGTCCCCTCGAAGCCTCACGCGTTTGGAAGTGACTGGGTCATGGAGTGGATCAATCCATTGAAGCGTTCATAGTTGACTGTGCTACCTAGAGGTGGGGCTTGGTTGGAAGGGGTGGGTCACTGGGGTGCACTCCTGTCCCCAGAGCCTCCACTACCCGATTCCTGGCTGCCATGGCCTGAACAGCTTTCCTTTGCCAAACCCTTCCACAATACTATTTCTGCCATGGAGCTGGATGACCATACACTGAATCCTTTGAAAGAGAAAGCCAAAAATAAACCTCTATTTCTTTAAATTGCTGGTAGTGGGTATTTTGTCTCAGTGACCTGAAAGTGATTAATACACAGGCTAATATCCTTTTCATAATGATCAAAATGTTTAAATATTTTTGAAATGTCAAATTATATATATTTTATCTCTGCAACATCACTCTGTACCTTCCCTTCTGGTATTATGCTAGTTTAGGCTCTCATTATTTGTACTTTCGGCTACTAAAATAACTGCTCAGTTTTTCAAACTAAAACTCCGCAAACAGTCATTAAAAACTTACCCTAAACATTTCCTAAGTACTAGGGATTCTAAGTCATAATCTCTGCCTTTCTGGAGAGGACAACAGAAAGAACAGCAAAGCAGATAAAGGCCCAAACTATCCACGTAGAACACACGGCAGAATAAGTCTTCATTCCAACACAGCCTGGACCATCTCTCCCCCGGGTTCACAGAAGGGTAAATGCCCTCAAATCCAGCACTCCTTGCACTCTGTTCCTGTTTCTGTCGGTTTCGCTTTCTCTACTGTGTCCCACATGGGGCAGGGATTCAAGAAACCTGCAGGAGTGCTTCACATCCCACCAGGCTTTTCAAGTTTGTAATCTTAATGTCTCTTTGTGTGAAAGATGGGAACAGGGGCATGAGAAATCATTCTATCCCTTTACAAACTCTTTGCTCAGCTAGTGACACAGTGAGGACACAATAGGGCCTCCGAGCTGTTACTCCTGGCCCGGGTGTCTTCAGGAATGGGGCGGGGGCAGCCTATGAGGCACCCTGAGTGTGCTCTGGTGGCAGAGGGGATGCGGACCTCTCCAGGCACAGGCCCCTGGGGCCACAGCCCGCTCCCAGCAGAGGAACTCACTTCACAGGGGGAGGAGCACAAATGAAAGGCAGCTATGGTGCTTCCTGAAAAGTAAGCAGCAGTACAGCCCTGTGTGTGTGTGTGTGTGTGTGTGTGTGTGTGTGTGTGTGTGTGCGCGCGCGCGTGCGCGCAGGGTTAATACTGTTAACTATTGGGGTTTACTCCTGGGGTGAACTCCCCCCAGGGATCTCCCTTTCCTCCTCCACAGACCGGATCTCCATCTCTCTTCCCTGTATGAAATGATCTTCATACAGGATGGTTTTGCAGCACCTTTGGGCTTAGGGGACTGGACATAGCTGCAGGTATTAATTTCTTACTCTTTTACAGGTAAAGTAAGTGGTGTGGTGTTTTGGGTCCTTGAAAAAAAAATGGGTTCATGTACACAAGGAAAAGAAACTGTGGAAAAAATAATTCTCATTTTGGATACTTCCTCCTTTTGCTACAGTTGGCATATGGAACCAGGTCATATTTCAGAGGAGAACTCCGATTTGGCAATCTTAGCAGCTCCAGCCAAAGACCTGGAATGGTTTTCTGGCTCTGAGCAGGGATAACTATCCTGAGGGACAGGGAAACAGATGCTGGGACTCAAGGATGTCACAGATGGAGGTATTTCTCGGGTGGAGGGAGGAGCCATTAATTGAGACGGTCATACTTGGGACTTGACTGCTTTGAGACTCATCACACTGGGTTATGACACATTTTGATGTAAAAACATTGTCATTGTTTGATACTCAATGTGCAAGCTAGGACTTGTCTGTGTCAGTGCCTCATGACTTGCTACCCTGCCCAGCAAAACAATCTGCTTGGCACGTGTGGTTTGGAATACTTATGCTTTCCAGAGCCAGTAAACCATTGGTACCCAGGTGCCACTGGAGAGTTTCCCTTCACCCCTTCCTTCATGTTATGTCATACAGACATCTCACTTCAGTGGGGTATGGGAGGAGACAGAGGAGAAACCCACCCACCCCAGACACCACAGAATGTAAGAAAGAAGACAGAGAAAGGAACACTTAAACAAAAACAACAGCAACAAAATGGAATCAGCATGGAAGAACAGGTTGCTAAGGATAAGCACAAATATAAAATTTAAACTCAAAGAAAAAGCACATAATGAGACTAAAAACAGTATGCTGCTAAGAGGTCATGTCAAAGAAAACTGCCTTTATTCTTAATTTTGTTTTAGTATAGCTAGTTCTGCTAAGGATATTCAAATCTTAATAGCATTAGATATTTCAGTGGCAATATGTAAACAGATATTAGAAAAAAAGAGTAAGCTTACATCTTGTCCCTTAAGGCCAGCCAGACCTGGGTCTCCTTTTGCTCCTTGTTCACCCTGGAAAGAAACAATTTACACAATGGAAAATGTTGTATCTGAAAACTTTTACTAACAAAGAGCAGGAGAGTTATGTTGTTGGGATATTTATAGCACAGTGGTTAACTTTGTTAACCCTTTGAAAGAAACATTTATTGAGCTCTAAAACCAAAGAGTACTTAAAGGTTCAGAGAAAATCTGCACAAAATGATAAAAGGGTAGAAGGAGAACAAAGAGTATTTATTTTCTTCTATAAGCAACAAAGAACTTTCTGCAGGCAATTTAGCAATATGTAGCAAGGATCTTAAATCTGTTAATTTCACTTGGTCCAGTGATTTCCTTTCTAAGGTTGTCTTCTAAGGAAATAATCAGAGATGAAAAGTTTAAGGCACTAATACATAGAGTGCAATAGAAATAAAAAAGAGAATTAAAAAAAGGAATAAAAAAGAGAAACATCCTAAAAGCCCAGTGATAAGGCAGGGTATATAAATATAACAAGTGGCCTGTGATGTGCCATTGAAATGTTTATAAATTTTTTTATACTGTAGGAAAATTCTGATATAAAAAGTCAAATAAAATTAATGAACTGACAAATTCAGTGAGCAAATGTTAACCAATACCTAGTTTTAGTATGTAAAATACGATAAATCTTCACTAATACCACTGTGGATGATTCATACCCACAGTGATGTGTATTCTTGCTTGATTTTTATGCAAAAGGTACTTGTGCATTTGTTGGCACACCCTGCATATCTATGGTACAATTTGATTTCTTGAAATATGCTTGTCTGCCTTTTGATCTACTTATTTACCTGTGCACCTGTTGGCTGTGGATCTTAAAAGTGACAAGGGGAGAAAACAAAGACAATAATAAAAGTGCTTACTCTACATATTCTGTGATTATGGATGATTTTTTTGCTTCACTTTTCTCTTCCTTTTTCAATTTTTTTCTAACAATAAACACATATTACTGGTACAATTGGTAAAAAATTAAAAATAAAACCATATATCATATATAAAAAATTCAACCAAGTCTGCCTGTGTGTGTGTGTGTGTGTGTGTGTGTGTACACACACCACCAGCAGTTATCTTTGCTTTATGCTATCAGGGCGATTTTCATTTTCTTCTTTATATTGTTAATTCTTCCACTTCTTTTTACAAAGATCATAGCTACTTTCTACTTGCAGAATATTGAAGAAAAACAAATATACAATTTTAAGTATAGCACATTAAATACAGAAATAATCTACAAATAGGAATACATGTGCATAATCTGAATCATCTAAGAATATGCATTATTACTATAATGAAAACATGAGAAATGAAGTAAAAATCATGAAGACTGGACGATATTCACAAGCAAGACAAAGATCCATACATCACGCTCGGTGACACAGGTTCAAGGCAGAATGAAACCGAGGATTTCAACTGAAAACGGAGGATGAGGAGGTATTGCAGAGCTAGGGTGTCTAACTCACTGCCACAAGTCATGTGTGCGCCTGTTCAGATTAAGTGACACCAAGAAATCATTTAAGAACTTCAGTTCTTCAGTTGGCTTAGCCACCTTTCAAGTCATCAACAGTTGAATTGTGCAGATTAGAATATTTCTATCCCCAAGAAAAATTCGCCAAACAGTGGTCACGTGAAGGGTACCACATCGATAGCACAGATGCAGAAGAAAAAAAAAATCTGTCGAGTTAAAGAATCAGGAAAAAAGAGAATTTAGACGTTGGCCTATAAGTGTTTAACCCTGCTGCGGCCAAGCCTGAGATGGCCTTTCGCCTAATCCCTAATCCCTTTCTTCTCCATAGATTAGAGAGTCAAACAGACCTAAGATTGTAGATCCTGGACCGCACAGCCTGGGGAGACCGTTACGTTATGTAATCTGGATCCCTTTCTGCGCATGCCGCGATCATGAGCCAATCACGAGCAGTCTAGGCCACGTGGGCCGCTGGCACTTGTTACCCCGCCTTGCTACACTGTGGACAGAGAGTGCAGTGCTCGCTGAGGCTGTGATACCCTGGTCCCAGCTATACAGCTTAATCTTGGTATTCTTTTTGGTTATTTTCCTGTCTTCTTCATCTCCCACCACACTCCCCGGCTTTGGACCCTACGCTGTATGGATCAAGGCATAACCCAAGTTAATAAAACTAAGTAAAAATTTTAACATAAGAGACAAATCCATAGCGCTCATCAGTAACTTTCAGAATATAACCAAAATGAAGACAATTTTTAGATAAAATAATAGTTCTGGCGGGGTGTGATGGTGCACACCTCTTACCCCAGCACTCAGGAAGGCTGAGGCAGGAGCATCCATCACAAGTTCGAGTCCAGCCTGGGTAAAGCAACAAGACCCTGCCTCAAAATAAAAAATAAAAAAGGGCTGTGGATGTAGCTTAGTGTGAAGGCGCTATGTGCAGTCCCCAGGAACACCATGGGGTGGGTGGGGAGGGATTCTGGCTAGGGGTTGGCTCTGTGGCAGAAAATGTGCTCAGCACTTGTGAAGCCATGATGCTAAAAATTAAATTAAAACGATTCCCATAGACGAAAAAAATAAGCGTATGTGCCTACAAGGAAATCTGCAAGCTTGGGAGTAGTTTTGTTTTGTTTACGGCAAAGTCAGATAAAAAACACCACGCACAGAGCTGGCCATCTGAGGGCTCACACTGTGTGTCAGAAGGGTGAGCACGGAGCAGCGCCTTTTCTTTCTCCTCTGCTTCATCTCTGCTTCAAATTGATCCTTAGCAAAATTCTGCAATGGACTTCAGAAGTGTAATTTGTAATATTACAAGTGAACAGGAATCACTGAGAGCAAATAAGATTCACTGAAAACAAGTTATGATCCTTATCAAACACTTCTGTGAGGCTTGCCTGTGCCAGACGCTGCTCTGAGCATCCTAACATCTGTGACTACTCGGAATAAACAGAGGATCGCTGCCCTCCTTTTCCTAAGAAAGCTGAACGCAGAGGTTCCTGATTCAGGTCACACAGTACAGTGCAGAGCCTGGGCTTGAAAACTAGGAAGTCAGTGGCTTTTAAAGCAGATGAAGATACCTGAAAATATGGTGCACTAGGATTTTTCCTAAGCAGAAGGCAAATTCTCTCAAAATGCCTTTTAGTGTAAGAAATAGAAGTATTGGCCGGGTAACATTACAATTGGTGAAGTATGCATCTGGCAGAAGAACAGTGCCTAGTGAGCATGTGTCTATCTGTCCATCTATCTATCCATCCGTCCATTCATCCACCCATCAAGTCCTGTAACCTCAGGGTTATTGACAGTTCCTGTTGTGAGACTGCCACACATACTGTAGGGTGTTTAGCGTCACCCCTGGCCTCCACCTTCCAGAGGCCAGCAGCTTCCTCTCTTGTACCCCCGTAAATAGAAATATCCATAGACATTGTTAAATATCCCCTAAAAGATGAACATGCCTCTAGTTCAGAACCACTGATATGCACATCATGAATGTATATGTAACAGATTTGTGGTATGATACGTTACAAGAGACTGAAACAAAATATTGTAAAAATAAAAAATCCCAACAGGAAATAAAATATACAGCTTTTCATTTAACTTTGAATAGATTAAAGAGCCAACCTAAAAACACTAAGGAAGAAGAAGAAATATAAGTGAATATAATCTAGAGCTCATGGTAGATAATCCATTGCTACTCATGGAAGAAATTCAGGAGAGGAAAAAATAGCCCATCTGACAAAATAGTAAATTCATAAATTCATTTGTAAGGGAATATGTTGTAAACTAAAAGGCAAATAATAAATTGAGAAAAGTATATGGTGGCTTAATAGTTAACAGCATTTATATGCAAAAATTTAAATCTTTCATAAGAAAAAAGAATAATATTCCAACCTATAATTGAGTAAAAGATATGTCAGGCAATTTACCTCAAAAAGCACAAAAGAAATGCCAAATGACAATAAAATTTTGACTGGTACTAATTAGTCAGGTCATACACTGAGATGAGATGGTCTCCATTTTAAATTCTATCATTCTCTGAAAAAAAAAAGCAGTGTGGGGGGGTTCTACATCTAGACAAGGGAAAAATATATTCAAGTGTTGCATATTTAATAAATCCCAAACAAAAGAAAGTGACAATAGTAACCAGCTGTTCCTTTCTTTCCACTGAAAAGAAAATTGAATAAGAACAAAACTGCAGCTTTAAAGATTTAAGCTAGAATTAAAGAAAACTTATTTGACATCAGAAGATGTTAGAAAGTAGAGTACATTTAGATCGCCCCTTGGTGTTTAGATAAGTTCAAAAGGAGGAAAGATTCAAACAAAAACCCAACAGAACATCTCCGGAGGGTCTCTAAAAAATATAATAAATTCTTCTAACCTAAAGGAAACTTAAATGCAGTCCTAACCAAAGAGGAGAGGATACATGGGAACCAGTTTACATTGAAGATTTTTGGATTGCACATCTTTTGTGAAACTAAACACTGCCAAAATTTAATGACCTTCCCAAAACTTGCAGCACCTTGACAGACAAAATATTATGTTCGGGTAAGTAGTGAGATCCTTTTACAGAGTCTGAATGAATGCCTCGTTACCCATAATATAGGTAACTATTACCCCTATTGATGTATATTTCAGTAGATGCTGGAAATATAATAGGACTTACTCTGTATACTGTGTGCAAAGCGTTGTACTCAGCACTGTACATGATAAAGACTCCTGTGAAGGGTACAGTAGGCAGACAAGGTGGATTTTCTCCTCTCCGTTTACTGTGACAAATCAATACCTCTGAGGATACGAAGTAACTTTGACAATGAAAACTCCTAATATCCCCAGTTGCTGTTCAGTTAACACAGTTAACA